TTTATGCGCACCATGCATCAGAATTACCAAACACGGGCTGGAGAGACGGCTCAGCAGCCTGTAGCGCACTGGCTGCTCTTACAGAGGTTCCCTCCTCAGTCCCCACAAGACAGCTAACAACCAGCCATCGAGAACTCCAGTTCCAGGGGATTCTGTGCCCTCTTCTGGTCTCTGTGGGCACTGCGTACACATGGTGCATAGATAAACATGCAGGCAAAACACCCAGACACATAAAATAGAACTAAATCTTTTTTTTAATTACCAGATATACTGGGCATGGCACCAAAAGAGAAAGGTCACAGTCCTGTTCTGGAAACAAATGTCCAACAACAAAGAACTGATAAATAGGACATGCGGTGACCACATGAAGGGTTGTTATATAGCAACAAGGACAACTGCTCTGGAACAATATGAGGAGACACAATAAACAAAATGTACAACGTGTGCATACAGCGGAACCCATTACCAGGAAATTCAAACACAGACAAGGCCAATCTGTGGCAGTGGGGATGTTAGGGACCGATTATCTTTCAGGGAGACATCAAACACAGGGGACGTGAGGAAGACTTCGGAGTAACGGGAACTTAAAACACCTCGACCTGGGCGAACTTTGCAGGAAAGGTGTGCAGAGAGCGCCTCATCAGGCTGAAAACACCGGGGGCCTGTGAGCTTTGCTATAGGTAAGCTCTGCCTCATTGCAAAATAAAGCAAGCCCTTCCTTATTCACAATCAGTGAACAGAACCCAGCACCTGTCTTTCTGGGCAGATTGGACATCGCTGAAAGGACGGAGTCCCTGAAGGAAAGTCTGGAGAAAATTCCACAGAGAGGAAAACGCAGCGCTGGGGAGATGGCTCGGAGAAGAAAGCTTTTGTTGTACGTTTGTGAGAGTCTAAATCAAAGCCCCCAGGACCCACGCAAAGCCAGGCATGATGACAGTGTCCTCACACCCCAGGGACCCTACGACGAGATGGCAGCAGAGACAGAATTCCCTAAAGCTCCCAGGCCAGCTAGCTGGGTGTATGCAGGGCCACAACAGGGACCTCGTCTCAAAGTAGAAGGCGAGGACTGACAGACAAGATTGTCCTCTGGTGTTCACACATGTGCTGCAGTACACAGATGAACACAGAGAACACATACACACACACACACAAACACACACAGAGACATAAACACGCACAGACACACACAGACATACACACAGATACACACACACAGATATACACACTCACAGACACACACACAGAGACATAAACACGCACAGAC